CTGTGGGCCGTTATCCGAGACGAGAACGTCCGGAAAACCATGTGTGGCAAATAACCTGTTTAATTTGTTGATAACTGAGTCCGTTGTAGTTGCCTTCATTCGATGGATCTCGAGCCAATTTGAATAGGCGTCGACTGTAATAAGGAAAGTGTGCCCTTTTGTAGGCCCCGCAAAGTCAATATGGATACGGGACCATGGTCCTCTCGGAGTTTCCCATTCGGTTGGGCTTGCTTTAGGTGGGGCGTTGCTGACGTCTTGGCAACGTTGACAAGTAGCAACCCAGGCCTCGATTCTTTTGTCGATTCCCGGCCACCAGGCGTAGCTCCGTGCGAGTGCTTTCATCCGCACGATGCCCGGATGTCCGTCGTGCAATACTGCTAAAACAGTTCGTTGCAGTTTGCCCGGGATTACGACTCTATCGCCCCACAAGATGCAGCCCTTTTGAGAAAACAGTTCGGTTTGGCGGGCTTTAAAGGGCGCCCATTCTGGTGATAGTTGTTCTGTTGGCCAACCACGCTCAACCCAGCGTAGGATGTGTTGCAGGATCGGATCTCGTTTTGTCTCTGTTCGGGGCGGCGATGAGCACATCGTCGAAATACGGTACGACCCCTCTTATTCCTTGCAACAGCCTTTCCATTAAGCTCTGAAAAATTCCTGGAGCGACGCTCACCCCGAACTGGAGCTGGTTGCATTTAAATGCGCCCCTATGCGTGATGATAGTTTGCGCCTCCGCGGTGGCCGGATCTACAGGCAATTGTTGATATGCCTGTGCTAGGTCTAGTTTAGCGAAAACTTTCCCGCCGCCCAGGGAATGGAGCAGGTGTTGCACTACCAGCACTGGATACGCACTTTGCTGAAGTGCGTGGTTTAGGGTGGCCCGGTAGTCTCCGCAAATTCTCAGTGACCCATCAGGCTTGATAGGCGTCACTATTGGGGTTTCCCACCGGGCGTGGTCGGTGGGTTCCAGCACGCCCTGTTCTACTAGTTTATCGAGTTGTTCATCGATTTTAGGTTTCAGGGCGAACGGCACCCGACGCGGCTTAAGGCGGATGGGTGCTACCTCAAGTTAAATGGGTTCAAGTTAAATGAGATCGGGGTCCCCTTGTACTTGCCTAGTCCGTTCGCGAAAACGTCTTGGAATTCTTGCACGAGGCCTTCCTCCCAATCGTTGCTCTCGGCACGGTGGACTCCGGCTACAGTGATTCCAAGCGGTCTGAACCATTGAAGGCCTAAAAGACTAGGCCGGTCACGGTCCACGATAGTCAGTGGCAGTGCGACGGTGCGGTCCTTGAAAGAGACCTGGAATCGGCGGGACCCGACAACGGGAATTCGGTTACCCTGGTAATCTTTGAGTATAACTCTTTGAGAGTTTAGGTCTTGGCGGCGAATCGTCGGGATGAGCTGTTGAAGCGTCTTCCAGGACACCATCGAGAGAGATGATCCTGAGTCCACCTGCATTACACAAGGTTGGTTTTCTATAGCGACCTCTACTCTGATTTTCCCGGCATCAAGGGATGTAGCGTGGCCTATGGTAATTGTTTGGTGGGTCTCTTCCCGCCTGGTTTCTTCACGCCTGGTGGAAGTGGTGGACGGTTTGTTTCTGTAGGAGTGGCTTCCCCATTGGTGATTCAGTTTGTTTCGGGGTGTGCCGAAGAATTCTGAAGACTGGCATTCGGCCTGTCGGGGTTTTGAGTTTTGTTTGCTTCTGCAAACCTTTGCAATGTGACCTCTTTTCCCGCAAACGCTGCAGAGTGCGTCGAGGAATTTGCAGCTGGATCGTGGGTGATTCGCCCCGCATCCTGCACAAGGTCGAGATGAGGGTTGTGTGAACTGGTCTCGTTCCGTTCGGAGTCGGTTGACCTCTTCCTTATCGCTTTCTGATGGGGATTCTAGGTCTTCGTGGTGAGTTGATACCTGCTGTCTCTCTGAGCGAGGCGAGGTATCTTTGGCGAGTTGACGTAGCGGTGCGCTGGTGCGGCGCATTCGGGCTGCCGACTTTTTCGTTGCCTCCGCTGCAGAGGCTTCTTTAAGGGCATCAGTGAGGCTGATGTCCCCCTTAGCCATGATTTTGCTCTGGATTGTGCCGTCTTCTAGGCCCAGAACCAGGCGGTCTCGGAGGGCTTCTTCTAAATCAGAGAACCCGCAGAGGCCTCCAAGGTTTCGGAGGTCTGCGATGTAGTTGGCAAGGCTTTCGCCTTTCCGTTGGTCCCTCTGGTAATATTCGTGTCTTCGGACTAAGGTTGGCACGGTGGGCGCGTAGTGGGCCCGTAGTAAAGGCTCGAGGACGTCCCAGTCCATCTCTTTTACTTCGGCTGGCTTGGCAAGTGATTTTGCCATTTTAAACACGGTAGGCCCGCAGTGGGTTAGAAATATAGCTCTTTTTTTGCTGGTTGTTGCGTCTTTCAAATTGTTGGTCTCCAGAAACATCTGGAACCGATCCATGTATGACTCCCAGTCTTCGGTTTCTGGGTCGAATGGAGCGGGTGGTACGGCACCGCTGGTCATGTTGCCGTTGATGGTGCGTGTTCGACCACGTGCTCTGTTGGTTGCTCTGTAAATCAGTCAGCTCTTCGGTCTCCGAATCCCATCCTCGTCGCCAGTGTTACGTTTGGTGAATAATGGAGACCAGACATCTGACCAGTGACTTCAACTCTTTAATAACAGTAATATAGAACAGAACAGAGCAAAACTATGGGCAGCAGTAGCCCCTTTTATAGGGTTGGCTGCTACCCTATTAACCAATACTAGTGCATCAAGTTCAACTAATAACCAATAAGAAGTGTCCTAAGTTTAGCCAATCCTTGTTCGTTGTTTAAGGACCAATCAAATGTGCAGGCTTCCAAAACCTGCTTTGCATTTAGGCTTAGTAATTTTTATTCATTCACAACAAAAGTGAAATAAAATATTGGCAATTTAAATGAAACAAAAACCCAGTGAACAAGGGGACCCTGCCAAAAAAAAAATCAGTTTACAGAAAACAAGGAATGTGTGACTGCAGTCTTACAGATAGGAAGCTCATAACGAGTCTTACTAAAATCAGTAGAACTTTTTTCTGAAATAATACATTGAAGGATAATGCTATAAGATCCTTATGGGCTAGCTCCCACTTAGTGTTCCTAAATGACTTAAAGTAGAATAGAATACTTGGAAGGTATGTACTGCTATCTTGCAAATATTCTTGCTGAATGTTTCGTAGTGACACTATAATTAAGAACCACTGTTGTTCTGAGATTATTTAAGGCATAAAACACCCTTCTGACAATTCTTGGAAAATGGACAATGGGTGTACTCATCAAAGCTAATGTAAGGTTTCCTAGTAAAATTAGAATTAAGTCAATAATCTTTCAGCAAAAATGTAACTTCATCCAAAACATTATGTCCCCTTAGAGTAGATAAGTAGATAAGTGTTGCATTCCTTGTATCATAATCTTATTTAGATTGTTTTTTTGTTTTTTTGTTCTCTTCCCACTCTTTTACACCATACATTCTATGTTCAATCATCATTTGTAATTAAACTCAGGAAGTTGATTTATGGTAGATTGGAATCTGCACGTAGAATCTCCAGATGTTCTGGATTCCTCATAATCTCCATCCATTAATTTTGCTGACTGCCACTAATGGAAGTTGTTGGCCAAGACATATGGATAAACTCAGGCTGGAAAAGTTTAATATTCCCTGATATGACAAACTGCTGTCCAGGATTTTAAAAAGGAGCATTCTATTGCTGAGCAAAAGTTCTTCTGAAAATACTGGGTCAAAATCCCACTTATGAATTTCAGGAAAAATACTATTTCATCCCTGCTGATGTGCTATTGGTAATAACTTTTAATTGGCATATGAGAATTCAATTGTGCTCTTTCCTGGACCAGAAGGCCTTGCTCACAGTCATTCATTCCTTAGTCACTTCCTGTTTGGATTACTGCAATGTGTTCTACCTGGGCTGTCCTTGAAGACCATCCAGACACTTCAACTGCAGCATGCACAATAGTGTGTGTGTGTGTGTGTGTGTTACATCTGTCATGACAGACAGACAGGAGACAGACAGATGATAAACAAATTACATCTTTGGTTGCCAGAATCTCTTTATTCATGTCTGTCATACTTGTGGGGTAATGTAATAATCATCCTATCAAATAGAACAGTTGTTCAATTTGGTTCTGCAGCTTTTGTTGATGTAGTACAAACAGAAACCTTATCACTCTTGATTGCCCAGTTTAGTCATTGAACATTTCTGCTGGCACCCACTGAGGTAAATAATAAATGTCCTTCTCTACAAGACAAAAACCCATTGTCTCAAAGGATTTTTTTAAAAAACAAAAACAAAAAACAAAACATACAGTCTCTAGCAGTAATTGTCCATTTATCTAAATACAGTATTTTGGTGTGAAGCTTTTCATGCACACTTCATAATTCTTTAATTTCCAAGCCAGACTCAGGATTTACATGCATTGCAAAAGATCATGAAAGATCCTGGATCTAGTTATAGGTTTAGGATAGGCAGTTGTAGCTGTTTTTTAACTGACCACTGCTATCTTTTCAGTATCTCTGAAACTACATGTCCTCTCTGTTGTTTGAGAGGCTATTTTTACCAACAAATAATGCATTAGGTGTTATTAGCTGTCATCTCAGCAGAATTTCTAGTAAAGACAATCTGACCAACCAAATCATCAGTTTCAACTGTTTTGCCTGAAAAGTAAAGGCTGCAGTTTCCAAGATCCTTGAACATATTTGCATCTATCTCAAATGCTCCCTTCCCTTGTTACAATTAATTAATAGGACTGGTGCCTTTTTACCTTCCTGGCCTTTGCAACAAAGCCATTCTAGGCCACCTGATATCTTTGGTCTGATTAAATTACATTAACACCAGTCATTGGATCATCTGTGCAAAGAGTCCACTACCAATTCCTGAAGGGTAGGTGAACATATTTGCAAAGAATACCATGGGAGTTTTGGCTAGATAATCTTTATAATGAAAAGAGGGAACATTCAGACTTTTCAGGATGAGTTCAGTGGAACAGGTAAGTGAAATCCAGGAAAGAAGAAAGGGGGTTAAAATGTTTTTCTTCTATTTTCCATTGCATGCCAAATTTTGGAAACTTGTTTCTTCGACTATTGCTGGTTCTCTCAACAAAGTCCCCCTAGAGAGAACTAGACAGGAGCCAGATGAGGGCAAGTCTTTTTGAACTCACATGTAGTAAGCATCGGTCTAGCATACAATAGACTGTGTAGCTGGTTATTTCTGATTGTAGACAACTCTTTGAAATCCTAAATGAGAGGGATATAAGAGCACATTCATTCATTTCCGTAGTACCAGACTGTTGCAGGAAAATTATCACCTATTAAACCTGCTGTATATTCAGCTCTCCACTGAATTTCTTCAACCACAAGTTGAATAGATTCTAACACTGGGCAATGCCTGTTCAAATCAGTGAGGATTGTGGGTAGAGTATGGATTTATTTAGGAACAGGTTCACTTCTAGCACAACACTAATTGTCAAGTGTATTCTATGGCACCCACATGTGCAGAGGTGGATACATGTACACGAAGATGGTGCATCTAGGTGCACAGTGGAAGAATTCTCCCCAAGAAAATGTCATGTACACACCAAAATGTAAGAACTAGTTCAGAGTCATGGAAATCATGTTAGTGCTAAGGACTTGTTTTATTTACCATATTATTTTGCAAAATTGTAATTGTGTTATGTGCAGAATATCTTTTTCCTTCATCAGTATGTTTCCAGAGAAAATATAATTATTGGGGGACATTCAGTAAATTCCGTCTGCCCACAGAAGGCATTCATCAATGTAATGAGGAGGGCACTAATTTTCAACAGTTATTTCTTCACCCTGCATTCTTACTTCCTCCAAATCTGGTCCAAAAGTATGGACCAGGTTTAAGGAAGTCGTCTTCTTCAGGAGTAAGAGAAGTTACAGGGAAAATGAACAAGAGATCCTTTGTCTTCCCATTTCAAATATACCTTTGCGTCAGCTATTTCTATTATTTCTATTATAGTTTCTACAGACAACATTAAACTAAAATGTTATTGTTCAAGAAGCACTTTGAAAAGAAATGGTATGCATTTAAGTAGGCCATATTTAAAACATTTGCACATAATTAATCAATATCGGGGTGAGATTTGGTTTATCATATACATATATTTTATGCTTATGCTCGGTTTTCATATGCATTACATAGCCAGAATCCTTCCAACAACCCTGAAATATAAAATAGACTCACTGTGCCGCAGTTGATTATGGGACTCACAAGACATATGTACCTATCCTGATCTAGGCCCCAAGAACAGATTCCAGTCTTGAAATTGCCTCTGCTGCAAATGATAAACTTCCAGATTCTAAAATTTGTTTCTGCTATGAAAGGATATTCTGTATACAGCAAGCAAAAGTAGATCATAGTGAAAATGAAAATGGTAAGAAGCATAGAATTCTTTGATGTAATAGTTTGTTTGTTGTTGCCTCTCCAAATCTTCTTTAAGCCCTGTACTCTTCCTTTTTATACTGTTTGTTTGTTTTTCTTTCTTTTAGAAAACATGTCTGACATATTTTAGCTTGTCTGATTTTAGAAGAAGGGTAGATACCAGGAAAACTGAATAGAGTTAAAAAGAGAATGGTATCAGTGAACACATTCATTACTATTCAGGACCCTTCTTCCTGAATTTGAATGAAAGAATACGAATAGTAATACAATTCTGAAAATTATTGACAGCTCTGCCTTCAATATCTGTGCCTTGAGCTCTGTCTATGAACTGTATACATATAGTTTTCAAACCTTTCAGAATAAAAACAGATAGTAGCATCTTTGTTGGAATAAGTGTTCTACAAAACAAGCATAACATTTTTTTTGAGGACACAACCAGGATGTGGATTTGGGGTTCTCTCTCCATCCTTGTTTTACACTTAAGCACTTAGTTGTTTTAAGATTTATTTGATTTTTTTTCTTTTCTCTTGTTTTCTTTTAATAAATGAATATTTTGAAATGTGCGATAGCCATTTTATGAATATTCAAAAGTCCCATCATATGCAAATTATTTTTTGTTCTTCTGATAATGTTCTGGATTGTACAATTCACTGTAGTCTGTTTTCTGTCACAACTTTTCAAAATTAAATCATACATACTTAGTTTAGAAATAAAGTATTGATGGGAGATGAGAATAAATACTGTTAAAAATACTATAGAAAGAAACCCATGTCAGTGTATCGTATCCATCAGAGGGTGCCTGTGAAGATGTTAATCCTGCAACATTATACCTTGCAACAAAACCAAACATCTACTTTCCCCACACATTTATACCAACAGCATCATCATGAGCTCCAACAACTTTACACACTAGCTTCACATGCTCTTTCTCTAATGGGATATATGTCATTATCTACCAGCAATGCCATTCTGATTCTACAATAGACAGATCTTGAGTCAAAGAACTAATGGACACAAATTTGATATCAGGATACAAATAAGGACAAAAGTAATCCCAGGACACTAGATGAAAGATCTCAGGACAACTGTTTTGGAAGAAAGAAGCCATACCACAGAGTGAGAGGCTGTGGAGCTCACATATATCAAAAGGCCTTAAGAAATAAAGAAGATTTTTCAACATATTACAATTGCTATTTGAAGAGGTCCTTGTAATCTGAATAATTCTTATTCCAGCTTTAAATCCTATACCAATTTAACTACTCCATGTATGCCTTTTAATAAAATTTACTATTAAAGATGCTATCAGGCTCCTTCTCATCATCAAAAAAAGTTTTCCTTATCTGTTTCAAGCCTTTGTATGTAAATTCATATGAAGGAATCTGGCATCTTTTAAAATGTTATATTTTGGTATAAAATCTTATAATTGCATGTCTTTTTATTTCTCACTTTTCTGTTTGATTCCCAGAAGAGATCGCAGTGCCTCGGTGCCATTTTTTAATCCCACTAAGGCTGCTTCCCTTTATCCTTGCTTTATTTCTCACTTTAATCATAGCAACAGCCATTGCCTTGAGTGGTGAGTACAAATTATTTATTAGGTTCTCAGTTAATCATTGAACAGTTTGCATTTTTCATGAATCTCCCGCCAGGAATAATATTAATTGGATACTGAAAGTTGCATCTTGAATTATTGCCGTTGAAATAATGCTATTAAAAAAACAACTCATGAGCTTTGTAAAGTAAGACAGTCATTAATAGGTGTAGTCTGGTCTTCCTCCAATTTGATGCACTCCAGAGATGTTGGATTTCAGTCCTCAATGATTCCCAGGAAACCTGGCCAAAGTACAAATTGCCTGGGAGATCATGGAAACTGAAGTTCAGCTACTCTGAAGGCAACCCTCAGCCCTGGGAAACAGGTTATTGCAGAGAGTCAAATCCTTCTTGAGATCCATTATATCATTTCAATTTTGTTGTACTCCCACTTTTTCCTAAGTATTTCAGGTATCTGCTGGCTTTCTTTCACAAGGTCTAGGAGCTGAAAGTTTGCCAAACTTTCAACCATTTCTATTGCTATGCAAAAGTCAACATACATAATCTTTCTTGGAGCATGCAGTCACATTGACCACACATAATACCACCTTTATTTATCTAAGTATCAGCAAAGTTGAAGTGGCACTGGATTTTCCCCAGTCTCTATTTTATTATGGAAGTAGTGTCTCATTTTACGAGCCACCATAAATGAAGGAAAACCAGGGGAAAATAATTAACCAAGCTTTATGGTTCACAAAACTTTCAGTATAGATGGATTAGGTTATAAAACATATGGGGAACAATAGATAGGTTCACAAATGTCTATGTAAACATTTTTTATTGACAATGAATGAGTGTTAGCCATTTCACATTGTATAGCTGATTTTTGTTGCTGTATGAGGGAGTGGAGGAAAAGCAAATAGGAAGGAAGGAGAATCTGGAATTGGGGAAAGTTAGAGAAAGGAATGGGTTTCTATTTTAGCTTCCATCACAAAACATTTAAACATTTCCTTCTTTCCAATGTTCACTGAGAGGAACATTATACACATAATTCCTGTTCCAATTTGTGAGGGCCAATCAAATATCAAAAAATTGCTGTTTCATTGTAGATGGTATTTTGAATGAACAGCATAATAACATTTGTAACCACAGATGATTCTTCAATGTTCCCTTTTTCATTTCTTCCTTATGCATCACTTTTCTTCACATGTACATTTTTTAACAAATCTGGGCTTGGGTTGATTTAATACAATATGCTTTTTTCAGTTTATTTCAATTGCAACGGGAGGTTTCAGTGCAGATCTTCCTTTAAATGTATTGATCAAACAGCAAGATGTGATGGCGTCTTCAATTGCAAAGATGGAGAAGATGAGTACAGATGTGGTAACATTCAGTTTTATTATGGATGTTATGTGCTATTTCCCCTCAAGGCTTGTTTTGAAGTGAAAAATAATGACCAATCCAACATTACCCTGGCAATTTCCATATTGAGTTCCGCACTGAAAATAATATACCACACTACTAAAAAGAGAAAAATATTTGCTCCCTTTGTGGAGGAAATAATAAAATATACAATTTTTCCATCTCAGTGGAGACTTTTTTAATTTTGAGAATTTAAAATTCCTGCCAATATGAATACATTTCTTTATTGTGCACTCACCAGGAACTACAATTTTTACTAAACCTGTGCAGAAAAGCTGCCATTTTATGCAATGGTGAAAAGAACTATAGAGTTCTCCTTGCAGAAACTATGTGAAGGCAAGGTGATTTAAGTCCAAGACAGGAAGAAAACATGATAAAGAACTAAGTCCAGCTCTGTCTTTACTCTCTTGAGTATTAAAGGAAGGGAGGAATAAAGCAGTTATATTTTCAAGTTTCTGTTATTTATTAATCAAGTAGTGTTCCAGTATTAGTTGTGGGGCCTGTTTCCTCGATCCAGCTTGTCACAAAGGGGTGACAATTGTTAAGAGGGTTCATTTATTCCAGAAGCAGCATTGATTGCAAAAACTTCTTTAAAAAAATAACATAATAAAGTTATACACAATATTATATTTGTACCACATAGCAATGTACTGATCCTGAAGTACTATAAAAATATCCCTTTGCATCTGTGTTTATATGTATTACCATAGATATATGTACCATGTACCATGGTGGTGCAGTGATTAGAATGCAGTACTGCAGGCTACTTCTGCTGACTGCCAGCTGCCTCCAATTCGGCAGTTCGATTCTCACTGGCTCAAGGTTGACTCAGCCTTCCATCCTTCCGAGGTTGGTAAAATGAGGACCCAGATTGCTGGGGGCAATATGCTAGCTCTGCAAACCATTTAGAGAGGACTGTAAAGGACTGTGAAGTGGTATATAAGTCTAAGTGCTATTGCTATTTCTATGTATGAGTAAGACAGCTTTGAAACAACACAAATTTATTATTTGAAAGTTGACCCTAACCTATAAAATTGCAAGTTCTGCTTTTAACTATAGGCATTTTTTTTAATTATGGGGAGTCAAGGGCAATAAAATAGAGCATTATCAGCATAGTCTTAAACACACTGAATCAGGGATGTCTACAGGGATAGATTTAACAAAGTAACAATGACTGATGCAAATGAAAAAGGATTCCCCTCTTATTTTATTGTTGCACTTGGGACATATGTAAAAAACAGGGGAGAGCTTCAGGGGTGGGATTCAATTTTTTTAACAACTGGTTCTGTGGGCGTGGCTTAGGTGGTGGGCCTGGCTTTGTGGTCATGTGACTGGGTGGGCATGGCTTGGTGGTCATGTTATTGTCTGTGCGTGGCAGACAATATCACTCACATCCAGGCACGCATCTCCTCGCCTGGCCTCTCATGACTGTGAGGATGCTGCAACAGTCGTGTGAAAAATGGTCATAAGTCACTTTTTTCAGTGCCATTGTAAGTTTGAATGGTTACTCCACACAAGCAAAGTACCAGCAAAGGAGGGGAAAAAAAACTCCAGAGAAGTTCCAGAGACAGGAAGTCTAGTCCTGCCAAGAATGTAATAAGGGTTAATGGAGAGGCAGTTTCTGTAAGCAACACCAGAATGTTTCCTTCCTGCCTTCCTTACAGGATTAGCCCAGTAATTTCTTCTAACAACTGGTTCTCTGAACTGCTTAGAATGTTAACAACTGGTTCTCGCGAATAGGTGCAAACTGGTAGAATCCCACCGCTGGAGAGCTTCCATTGCATGCTCAATGGAAGCCACCACAGCTTTTTTTGACTCCCCACAGATTTTTTGCATTTGAGTATACCATATATTAGCTCCATCCCAAATGAATTGTTAAAGATTTTTTTTAAAGGGGGGGAAATAAAATTGGAGTCAATCACAGGCTTAATTTCATTCAGTTTTGGATATATTACCACTGCTTTACTTCCTGAGCTAGTCCACTGGAGGTTTTACCCGAGTAGCGTAAAGAGAGAAAAGCAAGAAGCACTTAGCTGCTGCAATTGTCCTGTCCTTAAAATAATCACTATTAAATACCTGCTGACTTTTTTTTTTTTTTGTGGCTCCCTAGTCAGGCTGAGTGGCAAAAGGGCTGTGCTGCAGGTGTTCAGTTTTGGAACCTGGCGGACTGTGTGTTCCAATGGCTGGAAAGAAAACTATGGGAATGTTACATGTAAATACCTAGGATTTTCAAGGTATTGGCAATTTTGTTAAGTGACCATGGAAACAAAATGAGTCAAAATATAGTTTGTGGGTTTTCTGATATACAGTGAACATCTTGTTGAATTAGCTTTTGCATCTGTGTTTCTTTCTTAATTACTGATTTTGATAAGCAACAACAGTTTCTGAAGATATTCAAAATCAGGGGTGGGATTCAAATTTCTTAACAATCGGTCCTGTGGGCGTGGCTTAATTTGTGGGTGTGGCTTGGTGGTCATGTGACTGGGTGGTGTGGCTTGCTGGCTGGGCGTGGCTTTGTGGTCATGTGACTGGGTGGGCGTGACCAACTCAATGTCACTCACGTCAAGGGATGCCTCACCTGGCCTCTCCCCTCCCAGCCATTCCTTGTCACCCAGCCTCAACGTATCTATAGTTCTGTAAAAATGTTCAGCTTTTTTTGACTTTATTATCTACATACTATAGATGTACTTTCATGGACCACTGAAAGGAGGAAATAGCTCACATGATTTGCCCAAGAGTGTGATAGGCAACAGGCTTTTAAGGGGCTGCCAGAAACCGGGGGGGGGGGGCAATGTATTTTCCAAAGAAGCAGAAGGCAAAACAAGAAGCAATGGATGGAAACTGAACGAGAGAAGCAACCTAAAACTAAGGAGAAATTTCTTGACAGTGAGAACAATTAACCAGTGGACCTGCTTGTCTCCAGAAGTTCTGGGTGCTCCAACACTGGAGGATTTTAAGAAAAGACTGGACAGCCATTTCTCTGAAATGGTATAGGGTCCCCCCCAAGGTCCCTTCTAAGTGTTATTCTGTTATTCTGACCCCTTTCCCAAGACCTCTACTCAGAGTTTGGCATCCTCAGCTTTCCTGCCTGAGCAGGGGGTTGGACTAGAAGACCTCCAAAGTCCCTTTCAACTCTGTTAAACACACATGTATTTATGCTCTGGACTATATATATATATATATATATATATACATGTAAATCCTGAAAAATACCTGGGCAAAAGAAAGGCAGTAAAATAAATCTAGGTATAGGGACAATGTAAAATATTAATATATGATAAATAATGGAACAATTAAAAATAATAGCACAGAGTTTTCTCTCTCCCCCCCTTCCTTCTTATTTCTTTTCTTCTTTTTCTTTCTTTCTTTCTTTCTTTCTTTCTTTCTTTCTTTCTTTCTTT